TGGATATCTAAAAACAAGCTGAAACACGCCTTAAAACGCTCTTGCATATGAACAGAAAATGCACTGAAACACGCAGCAAAAAAGCGCTGAAAGGCTGTCGCCCTCGTGTGAATGGAGTCTTAGACAGCATGTTTAGAATTTAAAGTGTTTCTAAACTCAAGAACAAAAAATGCAACATATTGCAGCTTACCAGGTCTTAAAGGAGAACGATGAGGTGAGTATACCAGCCAATCTGCTCACTTCCCGATAGTCTCACTGCAGTGAGCGGTGACTGGGAACAATGTAACTAATAATGTGGAAACGGAGCAGGGGAGTCTGGAGTCACTTTGTATAGACGTGTACATATCCATTGTCCTTTAATTTAAAAAGACTCCTAAGCCTAACCCTAATATTGTAAATACAAACATGGTATCGTAACAAATCATTTGGTTTGGGTTTTTCAAAAGTTGTTTTTTTTTTTTATAACCATAATGTGCAAGATTTAGCAATGAAAACTTTTTGTGTCTTAAATCGGGTAAATACAGATGTCTTGCTGCACTCCTTACCGGTTTGTAGTTTTAACCTGTAAAGTCCAGGTGGGTGTTTGAAATGACCATGGAAGGCACCATGAAGTAACAATGAATTCAAGGATTTCACCAGCACACCAATAGTAAAGTGGAATTAGTCCATTTAACCCCTTCATGACTGAGGCCTTTTTTCCATTTTTTGCACCCATTTTATATTCCACATTTTAGGCCTGAAAATTACTTAAAACCCCCAAACATTATATATTTTCTGAATGCCAAGACCCTATAGAATAAAATGGTGGTAGTTGCAAATTTTTATGTAGCGCAATATTAGCGCAACTCCTTATTAAACCCCAAAATTTAGTGACAAATTTAATTAAATGCCCCAGAACACAATAAAATACCAATTTTTTTAAATGAATATAAAAGATGAGGTTACAACGAGTAAAACGATACCCAACATGCCCAGTTTACAAATTGCGTGCATCCGTGAAACGGCGAATAACTGCAGCACCCCAAAGAGTCCATAGAAGACGCTTTAAAAGCCCCCACAGGTCATCAATTTAGAGATACCCCAAAATACTGGCCCTAGAATTATTGCTCTCACTCCGGCATGCGTGGCGATACCCAACATGTGTAGCGCGTTCGTCGTTTTCATACGTAGACGCCCCCGACGCGTGTTTACGTGGCGGGGGACTTTAAACATTTGTTTTATTATTATTATTATTAGATTTATTTTATTTAATTTTTATTTAAAAAACTGTTTGTTTTTTTTACTTTGACTGCTATCACATGGGGGGGCTTAGAAGCCCCCCCCCATGTGATAGCAGATGGTGGTGACAGGTACTCTTTA